TCTGAAGTTGGAATTCAGATAACAAAAAGGGTGTCTGAAATTGGAATTCCAATTTCAGTTAACTGAACTTGGAATCTCAATTTCAGACACTCGAAGATTATCTGAATTTCAACTTCAGACGAAAATCAATTTAAGTCACAACAAAACAACCGAACTTTTTATCATTCATTTTTTATAACTATTTGTTTAGCCTTTTTTTACAATTTTTTTTATAAACTTAAAGTCACAAACTAAATTTATTTAACTTTGAGTTACAAAAATAACAAATAATGAAATAAATTACTGTTGTTCAAAAAATACAAACTTTTATTTAATGTTATAACCGAAACAGGTAAAATTAACTTTAGAAAAGTTTTCTTAATGATAATTGTCTGAACGTGTGTTTGTGTTTCACACATGATGATATAATGGGTCAAAGTCATGCTTTTGAATATTCCGTTAATTACTAAATATAGGAATTTCACGATTTCGCAGATCAGTTAACAATATTATAATTTTTTTTTTTTTAAAAAAAATAAATCTAACTGAATCTGATGAAATTTACGAATAATAATGGTTATCATACATTGTCCAAGTTTGGAGTCATATTTTGGGGTTAACAATGTGGTACAAAAAGAAGCCCATTTTATTATGGAAATTTTGATCAACATTGATGAACCGCTTTCTCCCATGGCAAGTTCAAAATTATTTCGTGGGAATTCACCAGAATTGTTGAGACATATTATTCAATATTTACGAAAGGATTTCGAAACACTTCATTCATGCGTTTTAGTCAATCGATATTTTTGTCGAATTACAATTCCTATACTTTGGGAAGATCCTTTTTCAGTTAAATGTAGAAGAGGAAATAGTTATAATTTTCTTGATGTTTACTTTTCATATTTTAATGATGACGATAGAACAAGTTTAAAGAAAAACGGATTTATAAACAATCCATCTCCATTCTTAAAACCCTTATTTGATTACCCAAATTTTATTAAAACTTTAAATATATCTCGAGTAACTTTGCACGTGGATAATTATTTAAATTATCCTAATAAATCAACCTCTTTAAACAACGCAATTAAATTTGCTTTTGGTTCAATGCTTGAAGAAGATTATAGGATATATCCGAATATTCCAAGAATGTCGAGACATACTGGACATTGGAACTATTCAAAAAAAGATTTGATTTACAAGATTTGTATTATATTGTTTGATTTATTTATAAATCGCGATGCTTCTTTAAACAATTTTGTTATAAGTATCGACAAGTCTAGAGAAAATTTTTTAATGAACAGAATTTATAAAAAGATGTTAAATGATGCAAAATTTATATCAAAAGTTGAAGATATTAACCTAAGTTTATCAACAATACCAACGATTTATCCAGATCCTATACCTATTTTTACATCTTTACCGTCATTAATACCTTCAATTAAACATTTAAGAGTTTGTAATTATACGAACCAATTATTTGCAAAAAACTTTTTACAATCACAAACACAACTATTATCACTTTCACTTAACAATGCGTGTGGCATAGATATAGATTCCTTCAAGTATTGCTTTAATACTTTAACTATAATTAAGTTTGAATATTGTCCTTTTATAAATTTTTTGTCATTAGATGGACTCAGAAATCTCACACAACTTAAATCACTTCATATCGATAGATGTACCGGAATTACAAGTCGATTTCTTCAACCATTACTGGACATTCCCACCCCGTTAAAAATCAAATCGTTAAAAGTAATTGGTTTATTCCCAAAACTTGCTTTATTACTTCAAAAAATTGGTTCTTATTTAGAACATTTAGAATTATATCTATTTGATGATGACGAAAGAGATGCTTCATTTGAGAGCATTATGAGATTTTGTGATAAAATTAAATTTCTATATTTATCTAACTTTGATCAACAGAATGTCACACAATTATATGAGTTGATCACTCATGTTAACAAACATCTGAGATACCTTTCTATTAGAAATGAAAGGTTATTTCTTAATGATAATTACTTTCTACCTAAAAGTTGTAAAATAATTAATTCAATGATTTTTAAAGGTTTGGGTCAAATATTACCAGATTCCCTGGAATATTTATGTTTAGATTTCGAGATTAAACCAAAAGACTTGAAAGTCTTTTTGGATCATTGTCAACACGTTGGATTGAAAAAAATCTTAGTTAGAAACGATGATAGAAATTTTATAGATGAGACTTTTAGAATTTTAAAAGAATTTGTTGAGGGAAAACGGGTAAAATATTTTGCTTATGAACTCTCTAGACCTATTAAGCCTAAACATAGTAAATATCGAAATTTAAAAATGTTGGCAAGTGAAGTTCAACCTTTTGTGAAAATGAGAAAGTATAGTGATTTAATTATAACAATTTCGGATTTTTAATAGTGTATTCATATCATGATTTAATAATAAAATTCATCATCATTATTTATAATATATGGTGAATTTAAGTGATTTTATTTTATTTTTTTTTTTTTAAAAAATAACAAAATTTATTAATTTATTTTTATCTCGACAAGAATTTCACGTGAACATTCCAAATGAAGAGATTGATTTTATATAGTTTGAATAAGAAGCAATCTAATGAAATTGTTAAAATTAAAATGAGATTTCCAACGATTCTTTCATAGGTTGTCAGCTGTGTCATAAAAATTATACATGAAACTTAATCGAATATACGTCACTTAATTTCTTTTCCATAATATTGTTGTATTTATTTCTTTCGTTTATGTATTTATAAATAATTTGTATTTGTAAGCAAAAGGATTTAATTAAAGTAATTATTTAATAAACTCAATTGATCAGTGTTGCCTCAACGTCGGCGCTCTACTTTCGCAATTTCAATTTATTAAACTCAATAATTGCTAATCTCTAAAAATGCTAATTAATTACTACTACACAAAATATACAAAAATAAAAAATAAGAATAAACCAGATATTAAATATAAACGATCGAAAGCGATAATATCGCAAGGAGAAAGGGAAGGGGTTATGATGAATGTATATAAAAGGAGGGAAGTCGAACCATGTGATTTTATACAGTATATTCAATTTATTAATTTAACCTTCGAAATTGATCTACAAACCAAATTCAGCGAAGACAAATTCTTAACGAAAATCTTGTTTCTTTGGGCGAAACTATAATAAATAATTTATTTATTTTTCAATGTT